TAAATTTAGGCTGGATTGCTTTTATTATTAATCGTGCTTTTTTTCCCCCCCAAAAAACATGACAACTTTTTATAGTGCTTCTTAACCACTTTGCTGATTTAAAGGTGAAGTGGTCAAAAATATGTGTAAGTTGTTTTCACTTAGGAGGTGGCTCTGATCGTTTATTTATATGAGATGTCAGGGTCGAATTTCTTTCTGGTGATGCTTATTATTAGCTAACATTGGGGTCTTGCATCACCCGGACAATTGCCTTAATGTGCCTTACTTTGCTTATGCAGCCGCAGGCTAGCTGGCCTCCTCCCCCCGCATGTCAGTGTTATCTCGCTCTTAAAAGCAGATATTTGTTCTTTGATATGAAATGAAACCGTAGGTTGAAAGCTCAAGGGAGTAAAATAATTGATTTTTGCATTTAAGACTTCAACTGCTAAAAAAGAACTAATTTATACTATTTTTGGAATGCTTTATGAATGCCTTTTGAATTCCTTAAAATTTAAACTGAGATTATGAAATCTTTAGACCTGTCGAGCATGAGCTCTTTGGGTCTTGAGATCCTTTAGGGGACACATCAGGGACCATTAACATTGGTTTCCCTCCATGTCGGAGATGTGTCTGTGGCAGGCTCTGTCTCCTCCCCTCGCCATCTCCACCTGAGCTGCGCCAGCCAGCCACTGAGGCTTGCCCTTTGCTGGTCCAGTGTCCAGGAAGGCATGGGAGTAATGTTTTCAAGTGCAAAAAGCTGTCGGTGATCCCCTCTGTGGTAAACTGCAGCTGTTAGGTACAAGTCCCCTCCCGGGGCTCACAACTTGAAGTCTACCTTCATCCTCTTGAAGCATACTCAGGCCGTTCTCAGCCTCTTCTCTCAGCTTGGGATGTGCTTTCTCACTTCTCTTAGCTTGCTCTTCCAGACTCTGCTTAGTTACCTCCTCTGGGAAGTCTTCCATGACTTTCTGATGCCTCCTAAGTTTTGGCGTGGCTCTTCCCTCCTGGTTCCTTGGCACTTTCTCTTACTGCTTTTGATGTAATCTCTTTAAACTACAGCACTAAGTTCATTAAGCACGGAGAATGCCTTGCTGGCACTGAGACTCTGTCCTTCTTTTTAGATTCTTGGTGGTCAGCACAGGGCTGGGCCTGAATCTCAAAATGTGTGTTAAACTCAAATGCAGTGAGGGGGAATAAGCCTTGATCAGTAGCCTTTGAACTGTCTGGCAGATTCGTTTTCAGCAAAGGATTGTGGAAGCTTAGCTGGATTAGGTAAATGCTTACATATCATGTCTTTATGGGATTCTCAAATTTTGCAGAGGCTTTGAAAAGAGCTCTTCATATAGTCTCTATCTATCTATCTATCTATCTATCTATCTGTCTATCTAAAAGCATTATAGCCATGCCTATTATGGGATTCTGAAACTTTGCAGAGGCTTCTGAAAAGAGCTCTTCTATAGTCTATATCTATTTATCTGTTTGTCGGTCTATCATCTATCTATCTATCTATCTATCTATCTATCTATCTATCATCTATCTATCTAAAAGCATTATAGCCATGCCTATTAAAGAACATGAAAGAAAATGCAGACAGTGGTGATGGCATCAGTGGATTTTATATTCTTTCCACAAGTGTGTTATTCTAAGGAAACACAGTGTGTCATCAATGTGAGTTTCATATTGTTTCAGTGTAATTTTGTGAATGTAGGGACATCACAACTAACACACCTGCCACATGGTGACAAAATATCACTCAGCAAAATGTGATATTCACAGAAGTAGGGAGAGTATACTGCTTTGGGCCTGACTAGTCTCCTTATGAAGAAATAGGCTGTGGAAAGGGAGAAAAAGAGAATGTTGCCAAGTGGGTGAAACAGAGCCCACTTTCTAGCCTCTGCATGCAGTCATTCTTGGGGGATGAACAGGTAATGCTTTTACTTGGCACTGCAAGAAATTCTGAATTCAGTATCTTGTTTTTATGGCTTTGCACAGCCATGTGATTTTAGTGTGGTTTAACTTTGGATAATTCATCTGCAGCAAAAGCGAAAGGTACCCAGGGCCTGACTGCTGGCCAAGAGCTGTGTCATTGTCACCCCTCCCTGGGGACCAGGCCTGGGCAAAATGCTTCCCTCCTTTGTGTTTATTTTCAACCCAGTAGAATGTAAGATCCATGAGGATCTTGTTTCATTATAATTTTATTGGACATAGTGACTGCGCAGCTAACAGACCTGCCAGGTAGGGGCCAAATACCACTCAGCAAAAATTCGATCTTCAGAAATGCATGAATTTGCTTTTCATCCTAATGGAGTGTTAGATCCACGAGGCTAGTGAATTTCATCGGTTTTATCATAGTCAAGTGTATCTTAAGCATTTAATATGGTACTGGTATAGCAGTATTAGTTGAAAGGATGAGAAAATGAACCCCTGTGAGCCTGGAATGTTTTCCTATCAAGACACACAGATCGGTGTAATTTGAGTTTCTAGGGCCTGTAAAATATCAGCTCTGTCCTCAAGTTTTAAACTAAAGACTTTCAAGCCAGTTAAAGACATAGCAGGCATCAATTAGATGGAGGTTGTATTTTGGTCCCCGGGAATCACTGTCAAGGTCCATTTCCTCCATTTCTATAGGAGAGTATTGGTGGACTGCCCTCTAACGGTTCAGAAACACCGTGTGTGTGTGTGTGTGTGTGTGTGTGTGCGCGCGCGCGCGCCCTGTGAAGAGGTTTAGAGGAAAGATTTTTAAAAATCCTTTCCCATTCCTCATGCGCTTCATTTCACAGTGCTCCCCTTTCTTCTTCTGTAGCAATGTGGAGCTAAATGTCCTCGAAGACCATTTTCGCCTTCTGTTGCAAGAGTAGAGTGTTAGAGAGCGCCCCTCTTCCCCCCGCCCCCCCAGGCCTCAGGTCAGGCTGGAGCCATGCATGGCGAGGGGTGCGCATTCTAGTTCCGATGATGCAGGCTGGGGTGTGGCACGGGACGCACAAGAAGCTTTTTCCCGTTTATTCTTTTCGGTTTGGGAGGTGGGGTGCATTCCACCTTTGGGAGTGGGTACAGCCCAGACTTCCTTCCTGGTTTTTCTTACGACCAGCCTTGGACAGCCAAGGGAAAGGAATGATCTTTGAGGTTTTTCACACTCCGTGACACGGTGGTTGAAATAAAAGCAGTTCATCCACAGCACGGGCGGTTATTAGAGACGATGCCATGCACTTGCTCTGCAGTTTGGGACATCTGTAAACCTTTGTGATCCACGTATTTACATTTTCTTTTTGATTGCTCCGGAAAATAGGATGAGGTGTGGTAGTTCTCAAAGGAAAGACTGCCGTTTAGAAATCCCAGCTTAAAGCTCTCATTGTGTTTTTAGTTCCTGCAAAAAGATGTAGAGATTCCGATCCTGCTGTCCTCAGTGGGATCAAAGGTGGATCAGAAGATTGGGCTTCCAGGCTCCTGAAGCTCGCTAGCTAGCTGCGTGCCCAGGGCGGGTCACACGTTGCCCCTCGTCCCTGTCGATGGGGATGATAACACCGACTGACCCTTCTGATTTGTTTACAATTTAAAATAAGACCAAGCATGAGGAAACATTAAAATCGCATGAGATGGTATTCTCTCCTAAAGGCCACGTGTCTCACTTCCTTTCCCCCTGGATGTGAAGTTTACAACCCTGGAAAATTTTAACCATGTTTTGCTGCTGATAGGTGGTCTTTTTCTTCTTTGAGCTGGTAGAATGCTTAAAACCAAATGTAGAGGGTACTTTTTGGTAAGGATTTCACGGTACTCATCTGTGCGGCAGCCTCATTCCCCCATCTGTATCTGTCTCTGTGTTTTGTTTTGCCTTTGGACTTCATTCTGACTTATGCCTGTGTTACAGGTACGTGGCTGTATCACAGGTACTTGATGTAAGAAGTCTTAACATGTTTTTAGAACAAGTTATTAGTTGAAGAACCAGCCAAACAAATGAATACTGTTGCACCAACTCCCTTTCTTCTCCTTTGAGGGTTAGAGTAAGGACGGACAGCTGAACTACCCCTCTGTGTGGTGCTTCCCTTTGGGCGCCATTATTTCCTCCACAATGGCGGCCCGAATGTGAGTGCCAGTCTCTTTAAAGAGACTGTTTCTTGGGGTAAGAGGTAAATTTTACCAGCTCCCTGACTAAAAGAGTAAACATAACTTACAGTTCTTAGCTGATACCAGGTAGAATTAACATTTTTATAGGAAAAATGCAAACCTTTATTTGTGTCAGATAACTTGTGTCAACCTCGTCTGCTGTCAGGGAGTGTTTAAGGAAAGTATTTTATTGCTTCAAGACAAGTTTTTACACAAACGTACTGTTTGTCATCTTTAGAGTGCTCTCGTTTGGGACAGAGTTCTGGGTTATATCCGGAAATAAGAAATAGAGACATTGCCCCTGTACAAGAAATGTTGACATTGTTTTTTCAAACGTTGATATTTTAAGTATTGTTAATGTTTTACCGTAATTTTATTCCACTTGCATTTCTGTGGTACTAAAATGGTGATAATTTATGTGTTATTTCATTGTTGAAAAATCATATTGGCATAATTATTCTTTTCATGGATAATTTTGCTAGCTTACACTTTTTAAATCGAAAGCCTGGCATAAAAGGATGATCTTTAGTATGATTTAATTTCTTGACAGGTTTATTGCAAATTATTGGCCAGTCTGAGGCACAAATTCTATTCTTGTCTCCTGAGCAGTGCTAATTGTTTCAGGGAGAGTGGGCATAGTGTGTGCTTTCTGTGTCTACTCCTTTACCTGAAAGACACAAGAAGTTGATGGTATGCAACACTACGGAGTGTGTCAAAGGTTTTGAACTTCATCTGTATCGATATGATAGTGTAAGTGCATCCCACCGTTAGACTATAGTTTTCATTTTGGCTATATGAATTCAACGTGTAGAGCTCGTGAGAGCTTTCTGGCAAAAAAAAAATGTTCGCCATGTTTAGAATGCTATACTGATGAGTATATTTGAGATGTTATTAAACAGAACTTAACTTTCTTTTTTCAGTTCTATCAGGAGGTCCATTGCCTCAAGGGCATGAATTTGAACTGTATGAAGTTAGATTTCATTGGGGGAGAGAAAACCAGCGCGGTTCTGAGCACACAGTTAATTTCAAAGCTTTTCCCATGGAGGTAAGAAAAACAAATCATCTTGTAAAACCCTTACTGTTCATGTAAAGTATTCAATGATTTACTGGGAATGGTTTAGTTTTGAAGTAGTTGCATAGCCTTTGGAGTCTATCAGTTTATATTAAAATGATAAAGTACTTAAGGAAATGTAAACTTGGGGCAGAAAATAACTCTTCCCATCAACTTTGGTGAACTTGGAGGATGCACACGGGCAATTGGCCGCAAAGGTAATCTACACGATTAAGTTTCCTTTCAGTATTGTTACTGTCCTAAAAATTCTTCTGCCTCTGCAGATTCAGTAGGTCATTTTTGTAGATGCTATGAAAAGATGATAAACCCAAACCCAGTAACTTTTGGGGAAACCCAACACTAGTCAGAAGTCTAGTTGAGCTCTGATTAGAATTGGTAAATTAGTTTTATTCACCCTAGGCAATTAGAGAGAGAGAGAGATTTTTAGACATTTTGTCTGAAGAATTCTCTCTTCATTTATCATCTTAATCAGTTCCTGCTTTTTCTTCAATACCTAGTTGAAGTATCATTTCTTCCATCGGAGTTTTTCGGAGTTCCTTCCCTAAGCAGAATGGATTTTTCTCTCGTGTGTGTTCCAAGTGAACTCGACCAGTTGCATTCATGGGTTGTAACGTTTAATGTCTACAGTGTCTTTCTCACTGATCCTATGAGTTCCTGTTACAGACGGAAGTATTGGTGCCCCCCATTCATATGTTGTAACTCTACCCCCAGTATGATGGCATTAGGAGGTGGGGGCTTTGGGATATAATTAGAGTTAGAGGGGATCAGGAGGATAGAGTCCCCATGAATGGAATTAGTGCCCTTATAGGAGTCCAGCGAGAGCTTGCTTTTCTCTGCTCCTTGCCACGTGAGGACACACCAAGAAGGTGGCTGTTGATAAGCCAGGAAGTGGGTCCTCACCAGACGTCAGCTCTGTCAGCACCTTGACCTTGGATTGCCCAACTTCCAGAACTGTGAGAAGTAAGTGTTGTAAGTGACCCCAGCTGTGGTAACTTAGGCCCAAGGTGGCTAAGACAGCTCCTGAACAAAACGTCTCCCTCTCATTCTTCTCTTTACGTCCACCATTTAACCCACTGCTAGGTATGTCTCTGTGACATTCAGGCGATGTCTCTGTTGGTCCAGGCCTTGTTTGTATTCCTTTCTATCAGGACCCACAGTTGTCTCCAAGAAACAGCTCTTCTGTTTCACAACACGTTACAGATTTTCGGGGCTGCTGGAGTGGTGGGCTTTCCTCTCGGTTGTTCACAACTGCACGTATCCTTAATTAAGTATGGAATTAAACATGGCTAGAAACTGTCCAGTCCAGCCTTAGTGGCTAGAAACCACTATTGTATAGTTTATATAAGTAATATTTATACTTCGAAGAATGAAGGTAGAGGAAGGATTTCTCGATATTACTTTCATTATCATTTTACAGAAGTCCCTTTGGGGGAGGCGCCTGGGTGTCTCAGTCCGTTAAGCATCCGACTCTGGATTTTGGTTCAGGTCACGATCTCTTCTTTCTTGAGTTGGAGCTGCACGTTGGGCTCTGCGCTGACAGTGCGGAGCCTGCCTGGGATTCCTACCCTGCCTCTCTCTTTGCTCCTCCCCTACGCTCTCTCTCTCCAAATAAATAAATAAATAAACTTAAAAAAAAATCCCTTTGGAATCTCATGAGAACTCTTTCACTAAAAAAGGCTCAAGTCTTAGAAGTGAAATATTAAGTGTTTTACAGATGGAGGGGGAAACTCAGTATTTTGAGGAGTACCTGAGTTTGACTGGGAGGATCATAAATGAGGGCTGCTTCGTTAGGGCCTTGATGGAAAAGGTTGGGTCTTCAAACGGCACCATTCTAGGGGCTGTTTTTTCAGTGCCTACAGACATCGTCTGACTTCCGCCACCTTAAAACCATTCTGCCATGTCCCTCTGTCCCCTGTGGCTACTGTGCTGTCCTCAGCCAACGTGCGAAGGAAAAGTACACGCCAGGATGCGTCGGAGAGGAGAGAGGGCACAGAACAGTCCAAAACAGTTAAGCCTGCAGGGTCGTGGAGGGCAGAGTGAGGGGCAGGTGGAAGGGCGGAGGGCCAGTGTCTCAGCCCCGCCCTCTTCTTTGAGATTGAAAGACCCACTTCGTCACTTCCTCTCTACCAGTCTTCCAAGACATACCGAAATATGATAAAATTTAGGGACAGATGGTAGTAACTGGGTAGGCAACAGCTTCCAGATGAGCACTTAGCGGCTTTGCTTGTGACGCGCCGAATTCGCAGCGTTGAGAACGCCTGATTAGATTACGGGAGTCCGCTCTTTGCGTCGCAGTGGCGTAGCATTTCCAGCCCACGTGTTCAGACTGGCCCTGTCACTCCGTGGGCATTTTAACTGCTCCGGTCCATTAAGCACAGGTAATGGTTTGTTTTGAGTGAGGATTAAATTCTGATAGGCTTTGTTTCTGCAGAAATATTTATATTTAGGATAATGGAGTCACTGACTGTAAGTTTTCCAAAATAGGTGATGAAAAATATTTATACTCTTTGTTATCCCAGATTATCCCTGATCCAATCCTAGAGAAAAGACTCGTGTCATCATCCGATGTTTGTTTAGCGTTGGGTCACGGAGTGCATAATAGCAAGGGGTATGCAGAAGGAGAGGGGGGGATCTACAGGCCATGTGTTTTCTGTTTATGCGTTTTGTTTTGCTTTGTTTTAATGGCGGTTGTGAATACTGAGCTGGGTGTTCAGGAGGAGGGGGCCACACGCTGTGCTGAAAGAGAGGAGAGATTCTATGTAGAATAGTCCAGGAGGGAACGAGATGGCTCAAGTGGAGACAGGTAACTTGCCACTGGTCCCCTGGTCCTGACCTGCCCTCAAGGGCCACCTTGAACACAGGTCATGGCAAATAGGACAGTGGAGAGTGAGGATAACCTGTACCCTTTTGGGCATGTGATTAAAAAAAAACTTTTTAAAGATACTTTATCTGATTGATTGATTGATTGATTTTTAAGGTTTATTTAGTTTTGAGAGAGAGAGAGACAGAGTGCAAGAGGCGGAGGGCCAGACAGAGAGGGAGACACAGAATCGGAAGCAGGCTCCAGGCTCTGAGCTGTCAGCACAGAGCCCAACATGGGGCTCGAATCCACAAATTTGTAAGATCATGACCTGAGCCGAAGTTGGATGCTTAACCGACTGAGCCACCCAGGTGCCCCTAAAGATACTTTCCATATTTTATTTATACTTTAAGACTAACTTTAATCTGCAAATCACCTATCTATACATACTTTCTTTTTGTTGATTTTGCTTAAACTTAAATGAATGGCTTACTAAACACTACAGTTATTTACCACGTCTATTACGTGAAATGTAGGAATGGCTTGTAGCAGTCATTCATCAGCCTCCCCACTAACTTTGTAAAACTTTAAATACATATAGTAAAAACAATTCTGAATATATTTTTGATGCCACTAGTAGCCAGCACGCACATGATTTCAAATATTAACACAGTTTGTGACTTTAAATAGTTCAAACTGCAGCTCTTTTGCTAAGCAGGGTGGATAGAGCAGGCCATTTCTGTTTTTCCTTCTTGAGCTTCTTAGTTTTGAGACACACACGAGCTTCCACAGCTTCTGACCTTCTTGGCTATGTTTTCATCTTGTAAACTTGAATTCTACTGTTCATACTCCAGGTTTATGCTTACGTGACCGTGCGTTAGCAAGAGAAAAACAAACCGTGCTGCATTTGTCTTCCTGTTACCTGAAAACCTAATGGGTTTGTACGTGTTAACTACATTCTTAGAAATGTCTCAGTCACGTCTGCCGTCTGGAATGCTCTTACTTAATGTGTAGATCTTTTGCATTGTGATAGTTAACCAAGATGGCAACACGAGGGGAGGTGGTTGATGTAAGAGAAGCCTGAGATCCAATCAGATGAATTCCTGTGTTTTTGTCATTCTGGTAGCCGCAAAAGCTTCATATTTTCCTTGGACAGCGTTCGATACCGTAGCTCCTGAAGTGCACCTTTAATGCTGTAAGAATTTTGTCATTTTGCCCACAGCGGTGTGCTGCACGCATCCACCATACCACGAGGCTTATTTATTCCACTCACATTAATTTTTGTTACAAATCTAGCCACTGGAGGAAACTGCTAGGTATTTAGGGTCAAGTTCAACTTTCAGGCTGTATGTTCTGTTTTCGCCACCTGTCTTAAGAAGACTCTCCGCTTTGCTACTTCAAGGTAGCCTCACATCGTGGTCTGTAGAACTCTTGGTAGATGGTGATTGATCTTTATACGTGAGTTGCTACCTTAATACTTCCAGGAAAGAGTGCTTCCCAGGCATTTAGATTTTATGCTGGAGCAATAAAATTAAAATAGAAAATTAGAGGATGAGGAAACCGAGAGTGTGGCCAAGTTTTGTTTTTTCCAAATAAGAGCATTATTAACTGTACTGTCCTCATCATTTTAGAGAGAGAACATCTTTGCCAGCTGAATGTAGGAAGGATACTGGCTCAGAATGAACATGGACGTCTAAGTTGGACAAAATCGGCTTTTAAAAAACTCATTGCTTTAGTTTCTGTTTCTCATTTCACTACGGATGAATTGATAGTCATGTCAGGTGGACCCTGGCCCTGCCACAGACCGCAGGGGGTCATGCACGGCCCATCTTTCTTGCCCCCTGGGCCTAAAAGTTTATAATTTGAGAATGAATTACCAAGGAAGAACATACTGTTGGAGAGATTCTTATCTTTATAATGTGTATTTCAAGGGCAGCTATTGCTTTGTATTCTCTGAAAGGACTCCGTGGTAATTGAGCCACGTGCCAGCTATTTATGGGGAGTTGAGTGCATTAGGTAAATATTTTTTAAAAAAGGTAAGTTTGATTGTGCAGAGCAGGACTCTTCAGTCGTGAAGAGTCTAGGCCTTGGTTGTGAAGTAGACCAACAGAACATTTAAAACCATTGTTTAAAATGTTTTTTAAGTTTTTTATTTTTGTGCAAGACCGAGCAT